CAATGGTGAGACAGTACATATAGATCCTAACAGTGTGCAACTTAGTATTTCCCACAGAACAATAGCTCAAGCTCAGTGATAATGTTCAAAAGAAATATAGAGGAAAACTGAATGAATTTTATTGAGATAATAATGTCTCTCTTATATACTAATTGACAACTGCATACAAAGTGACAATCTAGATACATCTTATGCTAAATGATGATTATTTAGAAGAGTGTACAGGTCTTTAGACATAATTACAAAAGGAAATAATCAAAAATAATCAAAAATAAAAATAATTAAACTACTAAATAATTTGAACTCTCGGGAAGCATACTAAAAAAGTAATATCAAGAAGTATAAAGAAAAAAGAGCAATACAAAGGGAAGCAAGCTAAAAAGAAAATAAAAATTAAGAAAAAATAGAAAAAAAGGAAAAAACATTTAAAGTCTAGTGGGAATTTAAATATCAATAGCAAGATAAAAGGAAAAAGAGGGAGAGAGAAAAATAAATCCAAGAAATTGGATTTTGTTGTGTCTAGAGATGGAGTCACAACTTTGCACTGTCCATAACTTAATAGTCTGTCCATAAGTTGATGTCACATCAAACAAATATATATTTTTGGTCAATGCTAAAAAAATTTCCAACACTTGTATCAATTATGACGCGTGATATGTTAGGTTTGTTATAGATTGTAAGAGATCACTTGACAAATAAAATATAATGATAATAGAATAAAACAGAAGATGGATACAGCAAAAGGTGGTAAGCAGCAATAGTTGACAGGTAAAAAAAGAGAGAACAACCAATAGAATCATTGTTAAAATCGAGAGAGAGAAAAAGGTATATGAAAAGAGAATGACAAAACAGAAAGGTAATAACCAACAAGGAGACCAAAACCAACAAACAATCTTCCTAAAACCAAGGAGCTGATATGTTATATCACAAGATGGTATATACTACAAAGAGAAGAAAACAAGAAAAAGATACTAAAACTGAATGAATGATTTATTGAGTTGAGTTTGATTCTCTTTTTATAGTCGACAAGATTTTAAGTTGATAATAGAAGTTCAGAAAAATAAAGATAATAAAAATAGAATGATGAATAATCAATACAGCAATGATAAAATATATGAATAAAAATATGGTAAAAAATATAATAATAAAGGTACTGATGTTGTGTGGAGATGTCGGCAAGATGAATTATTTGCATTGTAGAAGAGGAATGTTACTAGCATGAGGGACCATGATTTCGAATGAGTACAATATAGACAAATATGTTAACAAGGGAAAAGAAAAAATATTGTGTGTAGAAAGAACAGAGAATGGAAATGAGATTATTCCTGTGTGCGGAAAAATTCTCCTCTTATCACCGAGGGCACAGCACCACATCAACAAACCGTTGACGTCAACCTCTCATAACCGGGACGACACGTCACAACAAACTGCCGGACAAACCAACCGAGCAGACTGACCTTCCAGTACCGGACACCACGACATGACAAACGTGAACATAACTTACAACACACTTGATAAAACCGTCAATCTTCGATAGTATAGTGGTAAGTATCCCCGCCTGTCACGCGGGAGACCCGGGTTCAATTCCCGGTCGGAGAGTTTTTGGAAGTCTACATTTTGTCGTGCTTAATTTTGGTGATACAAGGTCTAGTGACTTGTTCTTACAAAAGAAGCAGGAATTAGAATGATTATTCATCAGTTTGTAATGTTAGAAATTTGTAATCAACTTATAATAATTTGTAATATTACTAGATACTACTTGAGTGTAGTTAAAGATAAATAATTATTTCAAAAAGTATATAAGATAACCCAAATCAAAATAATAAAAATCGTTTTCTATTCTCTCTCTTATTTGCTTACTCCTGTGTTGTTAAAGCTTGACCAATTTGGCTATGTTTACAGTGAATTAGAAGATAGTCTAGATCAGGAACGACATTGGATTGGTCTTTCTTTTACTATAATAAAGTCAAAAGGTCCAATCCACTGGGGATCAAGGAATATACGTAAAATCAAAGATAGCATAAAAGATACTTTTTATTGATATGAATTGAATTGTTTTATATAGTTTTCTAAACTAATACTGCACATTATCTGCAGTAATTATTATTTATATTTAATGAAAGAAATAGCCATTATACTGTGGTTAATGCTCAGGAAGATATTACTGCACATAAAAAAGTACTGCAGTTAATTATCTTCAGATTTTATGGATTTATCAAAATAATGTCTAACAGTGAGACAAGTATTGTTTTTGATCTGGGTTGTTCTTCCAATGCTATAATACAGCCAAAATTAGTCAAACCCACTGGGAATCGTGAACTAAGATAAAAAAATAAAAAGAGGTTAGAAAGATAGATAACTTTTATTGAATGAAATAATGCCCTCTTTTATATCTTTTCTAAACCTACCCAGTCATTATAAATGTCTGTTTCGGTTTCTATTCTATTTTTGTTAAGCTGTGGTTTCTAATTCTTTTGTGAGCAAAAGGAAATCACTTCGGTCATCATTCTCAAAAGAGAATTCTGTGTAATCGGCATCCTGATTGGTTGACAAGAATTCGGGGATGACATACAACAAAGTGTAAAAATGTTAAAATCTCAAAAGCTTCGTCGACTGCAGGATTTGAACCTACGCGGGCAGAACCCATGTGATTTCTAGTCACACTCCTTAACCACTCGGACAAATCGACGTTTGATAATTTGATATGGATTGTTGTTGAAACAATCTAAAGCAAACAATTTCAGTTGTCTGGCGGTGCAGTGACGTTGCAAAATTCTTTGTAATTCTAGAAAATTATATTCTATTATTTTTTTTGATTTTCCGACGGCGGCTGAGGCTGAATAGAAAGCAATTTTTCTATTCGTAGAGCAAAACACCAGTAAGTACAATAAAAAGACATCATTCTGTCAACAATAACTTCAGGTAACTACATATCGTATTCTATTTTCTCACTATATTTAACTGAACAAATTAACTTGGAATTAATATTACTTTTATTATATATTCTTACAAGCATAATTATCTTCATGATTATGACTTACTAATTATTTTATTTTATTTGTACTTAATGATAGTATGGAACAAATCACATTTAATAAATTGTCAATTATACAATTTTTATTATATATATATATATATTTATAATTTTATTTATTTAATTATTCAATAAGTCAATTGCAAAACTATAAATATCACAATACTTGCATTTAATAAACATTGATTTTGCTTTGTCTTATTTTCTGACAACAAGTTCTCTTAATATTTAATGCTGTTGATATTTTACTTGTTTGATTATCCGAGTATATTGAGTCAAGTCTATCAAGATTGAACAAAAGTACTGTTTTTCTCTTATTTTTCTCTTATTGATTTTATTATCTTTAATTCTACATTCTCTTTTGAGTTTGTCTTTTTTCTCTCCTGTGGAAAAAAGAGGTTATTTCATATCTACGAACCTATTCAAAGCTCAAAAACCGTGATAACATCATTTGTCAACATTTATCACAAATACAAACACCACACATATCAGTTTTCTGTACCTGCAAAATTATAAAGTGCAATGTAAACCAGTTTCTGGTAGAAGGCACCAGATGGTGGATTGCTTCAGTAGTTTTGTTCTATGGTTAGCCATAACAGATGATACCAGACTTGTGTGCATTGACGTTGATAGTGAGTGGACCAAGTGATGTGTCTCAAAGGACAGGAGTGGTCCCCCAGGTTCTTAGGAAATCTTGTTTCTGATATTTTTTATATTCAAACCCTCAATTATATTCCACCCTTTAAATAATTAAAATACCTATCTACATCATCACCTCAGAAACGCTTGTGACCCACTAAAAGTTATAATTCTTTCACTTAAATTTATACACTACTTTATCACTGATATTTATTTATAATATTTTTACTATATTTTTATTAGATTTCATTATTATACTATTACTATATTTTTTACTTTACTTCATTACATTGTTATTATATTATTATTTTACTTCTGTTGTGGGGAGAAAATAAAGCAAAATATAATATAGACGAAAGAATTTGTGAGAACTTATGTAGGTTGTTTATTTCAAACGAAAAGTAAAAAATGATAAAATTCGATTCTCTTTCTACACAGAACTATCTACTGATATTTATATGTTTTTCTAATTTGTAATTCAATGTGTGCTTAAGTAATCTTTATCACAATGAGTCATCTTCCAGGAGTATTGTTCTTCTGCAAAGATCCGGAAAGACCAATTGATATGATACTTCTCCAGTCAGAGCAGTCCAAGAGTTTTGGTAAAGAAGAGCATTTATGCTATTGGTCATATTTTAGTATTCCGACCCAGATACTCGGATAATGTTTCATAATATTAAATAGTTATAGTTGTAGTCTCTCAATTAAGTATTTGTATAATAAAAGAAATATGTAGATGAAATATAATGATGCCATATATATAATGTATATGTATTTGTATATCCCATGTCATGGTGATAATAATAAATAATTAATTATGTGTATGATGATCTGTGTATTAGATAATATTATAAAGGGAGATCCGTTTGACTGGAATAGCTGAGGATATTATTTTATCCTTCAGTCTTACTCTCAGATTCAGCAGTAATCAATACTCATTCATAACAACTTCTATTCTATCTCACTATATTTTTATTTTACCTTTATTTAATTATTATATTTTGACTATACTTTTATTTATCCTCTTTATATTTTTATCATATTTATCAATTCTACTTCTACTATAAACACTAGTTACATGTAGGGAAAATTTTTCACTTGACTTTCTTTCCTTTCTCTCAAAAATTATTATAATAAAACATTTTTGTTTATAAAAAGAACATCTTTTTCAATTTATAAAAGTATCATTCTATTCTTTATCTTATTTTATTTTGTCTATTATTATCAGTATTTTTTATTTATATACAGTGTTCTTGTTCTTTGGAGTGTTGTCTCACTATGGCTATAGGAGTGGCAACTGTGTCTGAAATAGGCACATAACTATCATTTTTGTGGTTGAAAGCCAGTAATTTCTCTGCAGTTTTTAGTAAGATGATAATGTCATTAGCAATCTTTTAAAAAAATAGCATGAAATCTGTTTTTTTTGTTGCTATATGATGTCTTGAATAGACTAGAAAGTGTTTGTAAGCTGTAATAGCTACGTCAAGTATTGAAATATATGTTTTATTTAATATTAAAGATGTCAAGTTTTATTCAGATTAATTTTTTATGAAATTTGTAAATGGGATAGAAACATAACTGTCATTATTTTTTTTCAAACCAAGACTTTTTTTTAAAAAAATATATTTCTCTTCTTCTTCACTTAACAATTTTATTTTAATTTAAATTGCATAACGACATGTAGAACATGTAGAGAATGAAAAAAAACATAAGGTATATAGAAAATAAAAATGATAATATAGAATACATGGGAGACATAGAAAAAATAAAAAATATAGGGTATATAGAGCATATAAAAAATAAAAAAAAGTTGTAAAATAGAAAGATTGCCCATTGTAATGCACATATTATAGTTGAAAACATAATAAGATGCAATTACATAGAACTGATTTGCATTTGGTGGGTATTGTATAAGACCAACTTGATGATGAATATCATTGACACTTATTACTGCATATGTAGATTGTGTTTGGCAACCTGTTGAGCTGTTTTGTGACTGCTGTTTGACGATTGGTACAGATGAGTCGTGGGCAGTCGCATCATATTCCTTCATTACTTCAACAAAATCAAGGAAACAAAGAGAGCCAAGTAAAACCTCAAGCTAGAAAAAGAATATCACCGCACCAATAAGCCAGCTGTAAACAATTATGTTACCATTGCTAAAGTAAAGAAATAAATATAAGGTAAGTAACTTTTGATTTTATATTGAAAAATGATATACTTACTTTCTGTAAGGACAGATAAACATCACGTAATGATTACTGCAGCTTCTTTCATTTCTTCTTTGTCAATACATGCAAGATGAATACATGGTCGAATTCATCCATAAACAACCAGAAACAACAATCGTAAAATCACCAATGTTGGAAATCATCAAACTCAAAGTTCATTGATAGTATCTAGTTAAGGCATCCTTCACACTAGGGTTGCTTACACCTTCCACCAAATCATTGTTCAAATGAGCAAATCGATGAAATGGCTCCCACAACTGCGCACCACTAGAATCATTAGGGAGATTCATATAACTTTCTCTACCATACGACTTGGGCTGAATAAGATCAATTTTGTCTTGGATACTGATGGTCGTGTTAACATAGTTATGCAATATAAATTGCTCCACAAGAAAACTGGCATTACGGCCGCCCTTGCATTTAGACTTGATCAGCTTGGAAAAGACACCAATTACTCTCTCCATTGATTGAGTGGAGTAGCATCGAAGTGGACCTAGTTGCTTGATAATAAATGATATATGTACAAGATAGTGCTGCACTGGTCTGAAGACACTACGAGATATAGTCTTGTTCTGAATTTGTTGCGATAGATAGTGGTGCCAGTGTTTAAAATGTTCATTGTTGTTATTATTATTATTATTTTAAAAAAAGTTAAGATTAGTTTTGTATATAGTGATATAGTGTTAGAGGCATTATGACTTACACATCCATCTCATCCAGCAACTCTGAAGTCAACGTCTATTGCAATGCCAGTGCACAACCTTTGACAAGTGACAGCACTGCAGTTTTCACAGCCCTATTTGACAAGAATGGAACAACAAGAGTGGGAACAAGATACAAAATAAAGTCAAGCCAATCAACTGCATGAGTACCATCAATCTTGGAAAAAACATTATCAAAACTGCCTTGGAATGATACTAGTATATATGGTCTTGAACTTGTGATGCAGTTGGCAATTGTCACAAGACTAGTTCTTGGTATGATAAATGGGTATTCTGTAGTGAAGAGAGTATCATCTGGACGGATATAAAATTTTTTTGTCTCCTTGGTAAGGGACACAGTGATCAAGTCGTAAATGTGCTTTCCAATTCCTCTTGCAACTAAATGAAGTTCATCCAGTGCAAAGAAGGAAGATCTGGAGATGGTTGACAGCTCACTAAAGATGCTTGGTTGGTATATATTTTTTTATCTATTATAAGCAATTATTTAGTACAAGAAAAAATCTAATTAAACTGTTATATACTTACAGGATTGCCGGTTTTGAAGTCTTCCAAAGGTCGCAAAGGAGCTACTGGAAAAATAAAAAAATACTATAGCTTTAAGTAACAAGAAAGATAGTGGAAATGTCAGGGGTTTTTTTCAGCTCAGCCGTTTTTTTTATTTAAGTTGGGGGTGTATTTTCGACGTATTCTATTGGTTTAGATAGACAATAAAAAATTTATATTTTTTTGGCTTGCTATAAAATCACATCAAATAAAGTATTTGTAGTACTTGTTTCCTTTTTTATTTTATAATTCAAGCTATACACAATATGTTTCCCTCTACCCAAATCCACACCTTAGACTGTCACTGCATTAAATGTCACAACAGTCATCAGAAATCTTCTTATGCTGCAAAGCGTACTGAGACTCGTTGTAATAAGAGAGCTAGAGTTGAAGGTACCAGAATATTTGAGAATAGTATAATATATTCAGTGTTGGTTTTTTGTTTGCTGCGTAATAATCATTTTAATTTTTTTTTATTTATGTTGTTTATTTTTAAACTTTTAATGAAACACAGCCGCAATGAGAAACATGGATGTAGATACTGAGGGTAAGAATTTTTTTATTTGAAAGCAGAAAAAAAAACTAATTAACTATTATATTCCATATTTGTAGTAATCCTGACCTCTCATTCCGATTCTGTGGAAGCAATGGACGGTCAGACCAACTAATCTTTTTTGGATGCTGCCTCAATCTTTGACAATGACAGAGACAACAATAATTTCGATGACAATGTTGAAGATGAAGTCAATGAGATCAAGATTGAAGACATCAACAGTGAAGGTCAGTGTGAGATACATAAAGAAAACTAAAAGAAAAAGAGAGTAAAAGAAAAATCAAGTGTTAACTTTTTTTTTAATTTTTCACAGACCCTTTTGCTGCTCCTGATATGTCCAAAAATGAAGTCCATCAATTCATAGCCATCTTTACGGTACTGTTTGCTTCACGTCATGTTGTTGATAAGGGTGCTGCTGTCTTGATTGAGTTTATCAACAACCTGCTGAGAATCTATGACCAAGATTTTCAATTACCAACCAGTCTTGCCAGTTTACAAAAAATGACAGGATTTTCTGCTATTACAAAAGGCATCAAGAAATTTGTGATGTGCCAAGACTGTCATACAGTATATCAGGATATTGTATCTGCTCCTTCTCAATGTGTTTCCTCAAAACTTGGTGCCAGGCCTGCATGCAACTGTAATTTGACAAAGTCTATATCTTCCTGTGCCTTGGTTGCAAAGTGTGAATATGTCTACCAATCCATTAAAAATACATTGAGAGTTTTCTTCCATCACCCTAGTTTTGAAACCAAGATTTTTCAATGGAATAAGGAGTTGAAGCTGGTAGCTACTCTGTGCGATGTCTATGATGGTGTGATGTAGAAGGAGTTGAAGGGCAATAATGATATATCATTTGTGTCAGACGCATGCTCACTAATGTTAGCACTTAACATTGACTGGTTCCAACCATTTGATGGCGTTACTCACTCCTCTGGTGCTATCTATCTGGCCATCAACAACTTGCCCCATGATAAAAGATTCAAGCCAGAGAACATTATCCTTGTTGGTCTTATGCCTGGTCCAAAGGAGCTAAAAACCGATGAGATCAATGGTTACTTGGAGCCATTGATTGATGATCTGAAGCAGCTGTACGTTGGCATGCGAATTCCTACACACGAATTCCCAAATGGTGTCTGTGTTCATGCTGCGCTACTAATGGTTGCATGTGATATCCCAGTTGCCAGAAAGACAAGTGGATTCACAGCGCATAACAGCACATGTGCTTGCTACAGGTGCAGTTGGCAGTTTACTGGGTTAGGAAGCAGCAACCAGGTTGATTTCCGTGGATTTGATTATTCTCGTTGGAATATCTGCAGTGGTGCAGAGAGCAGGTTGCATGCTGAGGAGTGGAAGGATGCAAGTACACTCTCAGAAAGGCATCAGCTGGAAATCGAAAATGGTGCTCAATGTTTGCAGCTGCAACGCCTTGGATACTTTGATCTAGTACGTGGAACAATCATTGATCCCATACATAATCTTTTTCTGGGGACGCCTAATAGATTAATGGATTGGTGGATAGATGAGAAGACAATTAAACCTGAAGAGTTTGCTTTGATGAAGAAAATTGCAGAGACAATAATACTGCCCAGAGATTACACCACACTGACAACCAAAATTGGAAAGGGCTTCAGCTACATGAAAGCGGACGAGTGGAAATCATGGGTGCTAGTTTATTCTCCTGTCTTGTTGCATGGTATTCTCCCCCCAATACAATTTAAGAACTGAATGTATTTTGTTAATGCATGCCAATACTACATAAAGCTCAGCATTATGTTTGATGAGATAACCACTGCCCACAGTCTGTTAGAAACGTTTTGTAATGCATGCAACGTAGACTATACTGCTACTATTCTCACCTGCAATATGCACCTACACCTCCATCTTCACGAATGCATTCGTGATTTTGGACTAGTTATGGTTATTGGCTCTTTGGGTTTGAGCAATACAATGGTATTTTAAAGAATTTCAAGACAAATGGAAAAGACGGTTTTGAGGCAACCTACATGAAAAATTTTGTTCAGAATGCGTATAAGGGTGATTATGTCAATGCTGTTCTTAAAAGTTCTAGCCAGATCCCCTTCATTCACACCCTGTCTAAACTTGTTACAACCTCCATACCTGCCACCACAGTCACCACTCTCTCCAGTCACCCATTCAGATTGCAAGCATTTGTTCAAGGCTACACTGATTCTTATAATCCACTCAAGGGTAACGAGCCTCTTCCTCCTTCTACATTTCCTCTAAAATACAAAAAGCCATCAGTAATGGATGATTCTGACTATCTCCATTTACTTGAATATTACCAAGTCGCTTACAACCTCCCAGACCTTGCCAGCTATCAGGACACGTCCTATAATCGCCCAGCACTTGACAATCAAATCATCAAATTGAAGTCAATTGACATTCTTGGTCAACACTATCGAGGAACAAACAACAGCACAATCAGTCATGGATCACTTGTTCAGGCAAAGTTTGTTGGTAGTAATGGAAACATTATACTTGGATTTGCTGGACAAATTCAGTATCTTTTTACACACTCCTTCCAACTTCCACCCACGCACAATCTCCATCTGACTCGCATGGTTCATGATCATTAACATGTATTCGCATTTATCAAGTGGTTTTGTACTTCCTCTGATAGGTTGCGTGAGGATGACGGTGTTGAATTTTGTTTGCCCATGTTCTCTCCTGATAGCTACCATAGCATTATACCTGTACATCGCATCTTATTAGAGGTTGCTACAGCTACTATTGCAACAAGTAGAAATGTTAGAAAAATGCTGGTAATTCCATTGCCAAAGAAGCTATATGCTTAAATAATAAATAAAGTGAACTTTTACATTTCTTTTTCTTTAACAAAAAAAACAGAGCGCGTATTTCTGATATATATATTGATAGTATTTTGTATGTGAAAAGTAATATATAGATAAAAAGAGAGAGGCAATTTTTGTTTATTTAATACCCGTCTCTAAGGGCCCACTGAGAAAATTTGGGGGTTATGTCATCTGGGACTGCTGTATTAGACACACTGGTGAAAACCCTCTCCTTCATTTGAGAAGCACTTGACCCCATTGCTTCAATAACATACTCCTCAACGAGTTTAATGAGAGTATTGAACTAAAATGATTTTGTTAATACTTCACTTTATATTTTTTATAATAAGACATAATTATTAATATAAAATAATATATCTCATCACTTCTCTATCCTGGCCAAACAATCTTGACAATGCTCTTCGTGCGATTCTCGAAGTCTTCATCTGCAGATTCTCCATCAAACATTGCTGCCATTTGCATTGTGAAGTCACAATATCTCTTCATTTGTAGATCAATTACTTCTTTATTGTCTGTGTATGCAAGTAAACGGCGAGTATGATTCTAATAGTAGTTTTTTTGTATTAGTATTTTTAAAATTCTCAAGACTAAACTATATTATTTTGAAATTATTTATTTAGAGATTACACTTACATCTCTGGCACGTCCTGCCCTTCTCGAACGAGTGTTTGTTGCTTTTATTTCCTCTTCAGTTTTTCTTGCTTTTGAAACCCGGCTGGTGAAGTTTTTGTGCAGTCTTGTTCTCAAGTCTGCCTCTCTAAATCCCTCATGGGTAAACTTGCGCTTCAAGTTTTCAAGAAGTCGCACCACCAACTCCTTGTTTGGCGACTTGTAAAAGAAAACATTTGTATTCCATCTGGGCTTACTCTCATTTGCCAGGATATCAGCTTGATTTCTTGTTTTCAGCTTGGGATCCCACATGAGATTACGAATATGGGCCTGATAGAATATATGAGAAAATACA